GATGTTTGGTCCTAATGACCTAGTCGTAGTTACTCCGGTAATCCCTTTTTAAATGAACGTTTTGGAAGATAAGCCTCTTAAAAGATTATGGCAATAAAAATAAATAGAAATCTCTGGGTTTTCCAATTTCGTAAAGAATATTCCAAAACGTTCAGTATTTTATTCTAAGTGACCATTACATTTAACGTAAACTTATTTTAACAAAGTAATTTTAATTTTTTCGGTATGTCTAGACTACAGAACGGTACTAAAAGTTTTGTAGGTTTTTTCCTCGGGAATTTTCGGTGATTATGAATTCGCTTATACCCTAAAATTTATGATAGAAAAATTCCCATACTTGACAATAGAATTTAAAATAGAAAAGCTTACAACATTTTAGAGATTCTTATTTTTCTTACTAATACTACTACAAATAAAATACATATATTTGAAATCTTACTGGGTTTTTCCCGCTATCATTTATTGCAGCCATCTTTTTATATTTAATTCTATACTAGAATTTAAATTTACGCGCGCTTTGACTATGGAGTTTGCATATATTTTCATGCTTATGATATATTTTATGATATATCACGTTACGAATAGTTTGATGCCACATACATTTCATCTCAATTTTATTATGGGATTAAATTAATATACAGAGAGCGTTGTGATCAATCCTTTCGGATTCACAACAATATATATATCTACTACACTATGTATAGATATCTTACTAAGTTTACTCAGGACTTAGTTCGGCTGAACACGCTCACTGTGACCACTGTACAGCATGACGTCAATTTAGTGTACTGTGAAGCCGTTCCTTTTTATTTTATTTATTTATTTAATAATGCCAAGGCTTTTGCCAAATGGCAAGGTATACAAAATATTTTTGCAATTTTTAGCCAGTTATACTGGTTACTATTTAAAACGGAACGCATTTCAGTATACTGGTGTAAAATGCTGAAAAGGCGGAAAAGCGGGGATCAGGTTTCGGTCTGGATATCTCAATTAAAACGCGTAAATTATTATTAAAATTAACACTAGGAATTTATTTACAATAAATACACTCAATATTTAATATGTTTGTTAGCGGATTGTTTAAATAATAGCGGATTAAGAAATCAAAGCGTGGTTAATAAAAGCGAAGCCGGTTGACACGTGGTTGTACACTCTGCTGGCACTGAAAAAGCGGTGAAATAAGAGCACAAATAGCACAATTTCTCTGTAACAAACTAAATTGAATTATTAGCAATTAATTTAAGCAATGTAAATTATTTAATAAACGAAATGCGGTTAATTAACAGAAAGCGAAATTATAAAGCACAAATGGCGACTTGTTGCAACTAAAGCGTGGATGCGAAAGATAATAATAATAATTCGTCTTCTTCCTCGTGGACTTAGGGAAGAAGGCTATTGCGCATGTCTAGCAAGAGCGATGAGCCAATCAAGCGGTCGATCCATGGGGTGCCAGAAACTCCACTCAAATTATTTTCATTCGAAAATACAAAATATACAAAGTCATAAATATCCGAAATGAAAACTATTCGAAATTAACAATATTTAAAGTTAATTATAGACAAAAGAATAAAATGAAACAGGCGAAAATTTAGTAATGAAATCTAGTCGAAACAACTCTAGTCAAAAAACGATCTATACAAAGGATGATCCATGGCGTGATCAGTCAAACCAAGCTTTGCGCAGGCGGTTAGTTTTTACGGGAACTAGCGGTTGCAGGTGCGGCTCTCGAAATTGGGAGTCCCCCAGGAGCGACTTCATCGCTACTGGGCCTTGTTCACCGAACAACTGGTACCTTTACAATAGCGCTGTTTTCAAATTAAATCAATTTTTTTTTTAAATCTATTCTTGAAACGTATAAAATTTTAATAATTATTAAAATGGGGCTCCAGAAAATTTTAGCCATGAAAAATAGAAATATTAACATATTCTAGTGAGGTAGCCAAAAAAATCCGACTATTCTATTTGCTTGATTCTCATAGGAAAATATTTCACATTAGTTTATAATGATTAAATAGCACTCTTTAATAAATGCTCAGATTAAAAAAAAATTCTTTATGAGTCACTCAAGAATTTTGTTAATTTTCAATAATCAATTATTTTTTTATGTTTAATGTTTTCTTGTAAATTTAATGTATTTCGGGTTTAAAATTATTGAGATTTTGGGAATTTCAAGTTGATATTTCATACATATTTGTAATTCAAAAAGGTTGCACAAATTTTTTTAGTTTTCTCTGCTCAGCATGAAAATATATAGGGTATTCCATCTCAAATAGACCACTTTTGAACCCGACCCCTTTCGTTAGAACAGCTATCTCTTTGAGAGATTAAAAAAATCTTAAAAAAAATTTAGAGACTATTTTCAGATAAGCTCACAGCAACAGAGCCCCGGAACATTAAAATGGAGTTTTCAACAATTTCAAATTCAATTTGAAAAGAGCGTACTCAAAAATGTTGCGGTTAAAAACTCGCAAAATTGTCTAAAAATTAATTAATTTTCATAATGAATTTAAGAACCAAATTTCAAAAATCGGCTCTTGGAATTTTTTTTTTGCATCTTAAATGAGTCTTAAAACAGTCTTGGTCTATGTCAGGTTTAAGATCTTGAACAAACGGCAATTTTAAAACACTTTAAAGACGATTTTTTTTACACGGGTACTTTTTTAATAAAACATAATATTTTATAATTTAGCATTTTATTGTACTTTTTACCTTGTTTTACTAGTTTTATCCTTAAAATTAAAAAAATTTATAAAATTTTAATTAAAAAAAAAAAACATTTACTCAGAATCGATTATTTAAAAGAATCGATTCTTGAAATTGATTAATCGATTCTGAGAATCGAAATTTCTGAAAAAAGAATCGGAATCGAGAATCGATTCTTCAGCTTATGTTTCCATCACTACTACAGCACTAGAGCGCATAATGCGGCATTGTGTGCAGCTTAGAGTGTTCCAATAACAGCAACGCTTCGCACAGTTGGACACTCAAAAAACCTTTGCTCACGGATGTCATGCGTGAGAGTTACCAACGAGTCTACATAAAATTAAAAGTATTTTTTTTGTATTGAGTTGGTATAATTAATGTTTATCTTATTATCTATCAAAGTTATTATTTTTGACAATTGTAAGTGTATTTTATTATTGTTGATCAATAATTATTATTGCAATAAAATTAAATATATACAATAAAACAAATTATATTTAACTATCATATTTTTATATCTAATATTTAATTATTGATGACTAACTTAAGCGAATTTATATTCTTTCTATTCTTTTATCTTTATAAAATGAAATCATTTTTTAGATTTTTATATTTGTAAGCATTGTCATGATATGATTTTGAATTAGCTGTTTAACATGAATGTTTTCAAAGATTTTAAAGATTTAAATATACAGGTAAACAAATATTTAGATTTTTAGATTGCCAAACTACTTTCGAATTTTTGTTCAAAACGAAGCAATACCAACGCGATCTACTGCTGCATTTCTTAACTAATCTGTTTCAATTAAACTTGTGCTAATGCGGCACCGTGCGGCAATGAGTCGCATTGTGCTCTCGTAATTGGAAAACGGTCATAGAGATGTTTTCGTGTACATTTGCTATCTTTACGGGAGAAATACATGTCGCCGACTATACATGTACCGACTGTATATATGTGTAAATTGATTCGTTATCTATTCTAAAAACGACATCAGACATAAGTGTCTGTGTGCAAAACAGTATCTATATCTCAGAAATTTCCGCTATTCTAGTAAGATAAACAATATCTGGAGGTAGTAGAAATATATGACATCTGATTGAAAACCAAAACATGCCGGTAATTTTGATAAAAAATAAATACTATAAGAAAATTTAGTCTGCATAAAATTATTTTTTACTACTTGATGGTTCTAAAAATTTATCTGTTATTGTTATTATTATTATTATTATTATTATTATTATTATTATTATTATTATTATTATTATTATTATTCAATTAGTAGGTATATAATTAATAAGGCCGTGATTCCCGATCCAGATATTTTTTAGACTCAGTTATTTATTATCTGTTCATACGACGTTTCGCCTTGAGATCTCAAGGCATCTTCAGGTGAACTTAGAATAATTTATAAGTCTAAAAAAATTTTCTTAAATTTGAAAAACATGTGCGTAACCTTAGTTTGCTCAATTTTGATTTAGAATATTTTAAGATATCAACACAATTTTTTATAACATTAGCAACATTCTAATTCAATTAGTAGGTATATAATTAATAAGGCCGTGATTCCCGATCCAGATATTTTTTAGACTCAGTTATTTATTATCTGTTCATACAGATAATTCTAAATCAAAATACTCTTAATAGGTGAATCTATACAAAATGTAGCTGGTTGTTTGTTTTGCTTTGGACAGTGATTTTAAAAAAAGATGAAATATGATCCAATTAAAATTTTTCAGAATTATAATTTAAAGACGTTGAACAGATATGTTATTATGGATAAACTTCCAGAACCTTTATGATCTAAATGAAAATTAATTTTGCTCGAAACTGAAAACGTCTGGATATAACTGATCAAACCTTGTTTATATTTTCTTAGTCAATTTAGAATTATATAAACAATTATAGCTATATTAGCATGAATATTGTTCTGTCATATAGATAAAATCTTTAATGAGTTCTGAAAATTTTAATGAAATACTTCATTTACGTTCTATATGTTTTGCTAGGATTTTTATATCCCTCATATAAACTGATGTCTATTAGATGCCTAAAAAGTACATTTCATAAAAATGACATCTTATATATCAATGAGAATTATTGCCATAAGTTTGCGGTATTAGGTATTGAAAAACTTATATTTATTCAGCATTTTTTTCTAAGCTTTCTTTTTTAATAAACATTTTTTTATGCTGCAGGTTAAATGGAATAAAAATTAAGCTGACGACCTCGTCTTGAAACTCTTAGTATGAAAGACAACTTGATATAGAAAGAAAATCCAAACGGATTCGAATTAATAATGAATAAATCTCAGAAACTTATTATAGGACTTCTAATATTATTATTAGTTAATGTTATTTGGATGTCTAGCTCCAAACTCACTCAGGTACTTACACTTTTTTTTTTATATATTACCTTCATTAAGTTTTCAAGTTTCATTTTTGTTGTGAGTTGAAATAGCATGCTTTAGAATTATTCTGGAGATGAAAATATAGTTGTTTTTGAAGAATGACTTCTCTCCACAAATTGAAAAAAAAAAAAAAAAACAGCTATTCTTTACTCAAAATCTCTTTAAATAATAAATAAACACATTGTCGTTAATTTTTCAATGAAGCTACAATGGATCTATATAGAAAGAAAAAATTGTTCTTCCTTATTTTAAAAGATAATGGTTTAAACTTACGGTTAGACAGCACTCAATGTTTTTTCGATTTTCAAATATTTTATTTTCCTAATTATATGTTAGATAAATTTGGCGATCCAATAAAATGAAATTTTTGGAAAAGTAAAAAAAAAACAGTCTGACTACTGACGAAGCTTCAAAGCAGTTAATTTAAAACATTTCCAAAAAGGAATTAAAAAAATAAAATACCTGAAAACACATAGAATACTGCCTATCTTTAATAGCGTTTGTTAGTTTTTAACTGGCTCAATTTTATTAAACAAATAGAACATTCAATTAATGACTTTAATGTAAATGGAAAGCAGCAGCTTTTGGAAACTAAATTCTAAATTTTGAGGAGTTTTTGATTTCAGTCCAATTTTCGAGGGTCAAACTTTTCATCAGATTTTATGTTGGAAAGTCCTACGAAACATTTTTAATTACTTTTAGACGGATGTCTGGCTGCGTATTTATGAAAAAATTATCAGGAAATCTAAGTGTAGTGATACTCTTTTGGATGCCGCAAACTATGTTTAAATGGGCGTTTAGTTCATCGAAAATTATGAGAGGTTTACATCAATACACACGGACACATCATAGTCTTTAAAATAGTCATAATAATTTTTTAAAACTCCAAAACGTCGTGCTCGAATAAAATCTCTATTTTTGAAAATCAGGCTGGAAACGATAATTTTGTAATAAAAGAAAATTTTTAATTTTCTTGGCGGGAAACAAAAAAATTTTTTTTTTTAAATATACCAAAAAGTTTTTTTGAGACTAAATGATCTTGATATCAAGAAATGAAAAATTTTTCTACTTTTTAATTAAATCAGTCAAATGTAGATAAGATAATTATAAGCATACTTCTGTCCTTTTGGAAATAATTAAGATTGCTTCTTCGGATCTTAAGCCATCAAAATAAATTCAATTAATCACGTGCTCTGTTTATTCAATTTGAAATAGTAAATAATGAATAAAATATAGTACTCCTCTTAGATATTTTATGTCTACCCTTCTGCTATTTTTATGTCTTACATTTTTATTGATAAGTATTTATTTTCTTTTTTATTTTTCAATTTTATTACAGTACATTTATTCAGAAACAGCATTTAAAAAGCCATTCTTTAGTACATACATAAATCTGTCAATGTTAACACTTTATCTACTGGGATTATGTTTTTGGCCTCCATGGAGAGATCAGTGCAACAGATCTTCAACTTACACATTTGTAGATCCCAATGCAGAAGACGAAAATTTTTATTCCGAGGTCAATAATACCAGTTTAAGTGATCCAACGTTTGTTCCAATAAAAAAATCAGCACATTATGATCGTTCGTCTGGAACAGAAAGTGATGATTCTTCTATTCGAGCTGTACGATTTAGTAAATTAGCCGAAGTCCGGCATATGTCTGAAGGTGATGCTATTGAAGCGTTATTAGCAAGGCTCAGTTATCCAGCCAGCATTCGTGCTGGGGAACATGCACGTCGTCAAGCTCACAAATTTTCTATTCCAAAAGTCGCTAAAATTGCTTTGATATTTTGCCTTATTTTATTTATGGCCAACTACACTTACCAAATTTTATTAGCCCAAATGGAAACTGGAAATATGACTGTAGTGTCAGCGGCATCCAGTTTATTCACACTATTTCTAACTTCATTTTTTCCAAGTAGCAGCAATGACAAATTTTCCATATCAAAATTATTGGCCGTATTAATTAACATTTTCGGAATGGTAAGTTAACAGAAAATTTTTTTTTTATCGAAAATAAAAAGTTTTTTTGAATGTGAGATGAAAATTTGTTTAAATACATTCGAGTTTCTTCATCACAATCCTCAAAATTTACTATTTAATTAATTTTTGTTATTTAAAAAACACCATTCGGCCGTACCCGAGATGGAAGGTAGATATAGATTTAGATTAAGAATAGATGTAAGGTAAAATTTTTGAAAAGTTAGAGTATTATAGGTCAAATCAAACGGCATGCCATCGGTTTTAAAGTAGTGTTTCCAAAAATGAGATGATATCTTTTCTAAGTCAAAAGTTATTAAAAGACATAGTCACGAAAATGACGATTTTTGACATTTTGAAATGGGATCCCTTCATTTTTTCAAGTACCCACTGGATTATTTCCATATCATATTTTTAAATTAAATCTTACAATACGATTATTCAAACATAATTATCCATTAAACATTATCAATCTTTAATTATTTTGTAACGACAATCATAGCGTAAATTTTTTTTTAATTATTCATTCAAATTATGTGTATTTAAGTATAGATTATTTATAATATAGAAATCTGTTTTTAAATTTTTACTCAGTTTTGAAAAAAATTGAAATTTCTGAATTTCAAAATGAAAAGAACAATAGCAATATAGAAATTTTTAAATCGTAAATGAAGAATTAATAAATCCATCACATATATTTTCAACTTCCTGCTAAGAAAATCGAAGATTTTCAAAAATCGGGAAGTTATTGGTTTTAACCCGTTTTGAAAAAATCGAGTTTTCATCAAGATGTGATTTCTTGTTCACCTACTTTCAGCTTGATGGTCTCTAACACTTTTCTGCTGGATATAAGCACTGCCTCAGTTTTGTGTGTAGCCAGATGCAGGTTTACCGTATTCATCCACCGATGGACTCGCTCGAAGGTGATGTCGAACATGTTGTTAATCTCGTCAAGGTGTTTAGCGACGATTACTACGGCTACGTCGTCTGCATATGCTACGAGTTTTATACTTCTTGGCAATTTCAATCTCAATAGGCCATCGTACATGATATTCCACAGCAGTGGACCAAGTACAGAGCCCTGGGGTACACCTCCCGTAATATCATACTCTTTTAGACCATTCTTCGTGTCGTATTTAAGAACTCTATCGGTAAAATAGCTGGCCACTATTCTACACAGGTATTCTGGGACGTGTTTCTCTCGAAGAGCTTGCATGATGCAGTTCCAGTTGGCGGAATTGAAGGCGTTTTTAATGTCTAATGCCGCCACCAGGCAATACTTCTTTGCGCCACCCTTCCATCTCGTTCCTGCGATCGCTTCTTTAGCCGTGCTAAAAACCAGATTGATCGCGTCCAGGGTTGATCGTCCTTTCCGGAATCCATGCTGGTTGTCTGCCAGGAGTGAGTCGACTACTGCATCTGTTCGTTGATGAATTATGCGCTCAAATATCTTACCCGCCGTATCTAGCATGCAAAGTGGTCGGTAAGATGACGGTTCTTCTGGTGGTTTCTTCCCTTTAGGTAACAGTACTAATCGTTGCTGTTTCCACTTACTTTTTTTTTTTTTTTTTCGGGCGAGAGGAGGGAAATCTTCATAAGACACCGGCTAGATGTTGGAGATATTGGCTGCCGGTAGTGTGAGATTCTTACTCACTAAAACCCTCCCCTCTCTTGTACCTGATACTGCGGGACCGCGTTAGCATTACTTCGCAGTACCAGGCCCCCTCCAAGCTACTCCTGTAGCTATTTCCTCCTGTAGCTATTCCTCCTATATAGTCCTGTAACAGGACCCTCCGTTTTTGCGGCTGTGGCCGGCTTACAGTCTGTACCCGCATTTGCCTGTGCCCCGCTTATTTTAGGGGCACAATGACCGAGGAAAAACCACAGAAACCTGGTCAAGGTACAGTCGGCAAGGGAGCAAGCCCCGGAAATCGCAGAAGAAAAATTGCAATTGCCAGGGCTCGAACCCACGCCTGAGCGACTGCTGTGCGGCAGTTTAAGACTTAAACCGCTCGGCCAAGCAGTCGCCTTGTGTGTGTGTGTGTATGTGTGTGTGTATGTGTGTGTGTGTGTGTGTGTGTGTGTGTGTGTGTGTGTGTGTGTGTGTGTGTGTGTGTGTGTGTGTGTTGAAAGTCTTTACTGTTCAATTCCAAAGTGTGTGTGTGTGTGTGTGTGTGTGTGTGTGTGTGTGTGTGTGTGTGTGTGTGTGTGTGTGTGTGTGTGTGTGTGTGTGTGTGTGTGTGTGTGTGTTTGTGTGTGTATGTAAACCTCTTGTAACTTTTGAACGACTTGACCGATTTCATCGCGGTTGGTGCCATTCGAAAGGGCTTCACTAAACTTAGATTTCCTGAAAATTTGAACCGATTCGGATCGGTAGATTTCGAGAAAATGCAAAAAAAGTGAAAAAAAAAGTTGTTTTTTTTTATTTTTTTTAAATATCTCTGAATTGGCTGAACCGATCGGTCTCAAAAACTAATCAGCTCTTAACCTTGAAAACCCCCATCGATCGCTACCAAAAACGTAAGAATCGGTTGATGCGTTCGTAAGATATCGTTGTCGAAAAAAATCGAAAAAAGTGTTTTTTTGTAATAACTTCGAAATTCATGGCTCGATCGATTTAAACTTGAACATTTTTTATGGAGCTTCAAAAACTGCGTCGATTGCCGCCAACTGCGTGAAAATCGGTTCATTCATTCAAAAGTTATTGCCGTTTGAAAATTCAAAAAATTGTGTCTTTAAACTGCTATTAGAGTTTTGAGCTCGAAGAGCTCAAATTGACACAAAAATAATATTTTTGAGCTCGAAAAGCTCAAAAACGTAATGTGTAGTTTGAAGCGTTTAAGTACAAAATGAGCGGGAAGTTGCAGGGATGGCCTTTAGGGTGAACCGTTTTTCTAATTTTTTTTATATGATATTTTATAATAGTAGTTCTTGCTTTTTATTACGCGTATTACTTAATCATTATCAATTATCTTTATTATTTCTATTTAAAATTATTAAAAATAATCAGCACAAACTATAGCGACCCAGATTTTTAGATTTTAACTTTTTTTCATGTCAGAAGCGGATGATTAGAGACTAAATAATATAAGGGTGCATGCTGATCTTACAATAGATGAGAAACTACAGTGAAAAAAAGATATTTGACAGCTTGCATGTACACACGCTAGGCAGCGCAAGAATATCTTTGACATGAACTATAGGCTAAAGAGGATAGTTTGCCACTGGAAATGTATCAAATTAAAATTGTCAATTTTTATTATAATTACAAAAAATACTGAAATCCGAACAAAAAAAGTTTCACTGTAAAAAAATCGCGCCAAGTCCACGTTCATAAGACTATTAAGAAAAAAAAATTTTATTTCTTTACAAAAAGATACACTGATAGAAAATTTATGTTGACTTAAGAGATATTTTCTTGATCTAAGAATTTATTTTGGAAGACAAATGATTATCTTGCTCTAAGAATTTCTTGTCTTGATTTAGATTTTCTTGGCTTAAGAGCTATATTATCTTCAATCGATACATTTAAGTTTTTCAATCAAAATAACAATATCGTTTAAAAAACTTAAAATAATTCATCAAAGTATAATTCAAAAACTGAATATTCTTTAATTATTATACCAACTTAGAAATAAGTAAATTATAATTAATGACAAAAAAAAAAGCCATTCTAAACACAAGTCGGTAACATCTTGAACCAATGTTATCGCCTATCTTGAACCAAGAGACAAAAATTTTTGAAAGAAATATATCTATATCTAGTTTCAAGAGTTCAAGTTTTGAAGAAAAAAAATTTCTTGAATCAAGATTGTTTTTCTATCAGTGTATAAAATAAAAAATTAAAAAAGCCAAGTAAACGATATGATTGTATAAGATTTTCGGAAATTAAAAAAAATTTTGTTGTAAATTTAAAAATTAAAAGAAACAATTTTGGAACGCACTTAGTGTGCGTCGTCGTGTACTTTAATTTTTGAAGTTATACTTCTTTTGGCGCGTTGGGCAGAAATGATGAGGGTAAATTTTTACGATGCGCGCGCACACCGTCACGAAAAATCGACACCCTGAAGTTAGCTACTCAACATTTTAGTTTTTTAAGAAACGTTACCAACAAAATAAAAATAAGTACATTTACGTATGTTTGCGTGAGAACTGGCAACTGTATTCACGATATTTCATATAAATATATATTTTTAACTTCCCGCTAAGAAAATTGAAAATTTTTAATAATGGGAAATTATTCATTTCGGTCCGATTTTCAAAAGTTTAGTTTTCATCAGATGTCCACGTTTTAAGGTTCCAGGAAGCCATTCTGATTATTCCCGCCAAGGTGTCCGGCCGTGTGTGTGTCAATAAATTTTTGTCGTACGGTTTCTCAAAAACAAATCAACCGATTGAGTTCTACGACACGTCATTCGAAAGGGTCTATCAAAACGTAGATCTGATTAGATTTAATTCATCAAGCTATTACGAAGAAATTAAAAAAAAATTTGAATTTTTATACTTTTTAAAAATAACTCCAAAGCGTGCGAAAAAATCATAACAAAACAATTATGTATACATTTTTTGTTCTTAAAAAACTGCGTCGAATGCTTTTTTGAGAATAAAAATCGAACGACTCATTCAAAAGTTATAGTTCTTTTAAAATTCGTAAAATTTTGTTTTCGGTTTTTTTTTATGATATCTTGGAGATTTTTCAACCAATCAATATGAACTTGTACATTTTTTTATTGTGTGTTTAAAAACTGCGTCAAAGCAATTTTAAAAAAGAAAATCGAACGACACATTCAAAAGTTATCGTTGATTAATAAATACATTTTGAGCTCGAAGAGCTCAAAATGTGAAAAACTCTGATTTGAGCTTGAAAAGCTCAAATATTAATCAAAAAACACATTTTAAGGTGCTTAAAATGCAAACTTAGCAGAAAGTTCTAGGGGTTAGCCTGCACGGTCTACCGATTTCCATATTTTTTTAATTATGTAGAAATAATTTTTTTATGATATTCAAATAAACTTTATTTAACTAGATAATGTGTTATAATAAAACTCACAATGTATTAAATACTTTTTTTTCTATTATTAGTGTCGTTTTTTTCTACAAATGTAGGGTAACGCGATAGATAAAATATTTAGAAAGATTTTTATCTAGTTACGCCAAAGAAGTATAACTTCTAACGTGCGTACATAAGTACACACACACTTTTTTTTGAAGTTATACTTCTTTTGGCGCATCAGGCAAAAATGA